CTTTAGGAGGGCCCCAGGACGGCCCAAAACCGCTCCATACGAGCCCAAGACCCTCCAAGCGTCATAAGATGGCCTCGGATGGCTTCAACACAGTCCAACAGAGCCTGCAGACGGTCCCAGAGGCCGTTCAGACGACCCCCGAATAATTAGGCTTCAGGAGGCAAACGCCATTAATTGTCGCTGAATTTTTGACGGTTTTTCAGGTTCTCGCCTTCCCGGGCTTCCGACGGTCCAAAACGACCCAAGCGCCATAGAACCATAGAACATCGCTCCTACATGCGCCCAAGAGCAACCCAGAACGGCCCCAATGGATTTGAAGATGGTCCAAGGGAGCCCCCAGACGGCCCAACACAGCGCCATGAAGCCCCCAAGAGGCCCCCCAGAGAGCCTCACTAGAGCCCCCAGGGTCCCCGAAAAGGCTGTCTAGACAGCCAAAGCCCCCTAAGACGGACCAGAAACGCTCCAGGACGGCCTGGTCCCAGCGCAGATAACGCTGCACTGCACTCGCTGCGATCAGGACGTCCTTCGGCTGGACTTCAGCTTCGCCCAACGCAAACGAGCCTCCCGCGTATGCATCGCTTTCACCGCCGGTGCCCCGCAGACTTCCGGTCTCTCCCGACGCCGACCAGAAGTGTTCTGCGTTCTTTGTATGTTCTTTTTGCAAAAGGGAGCCTTCGCCACCGACCGCGACAGGTCGCATGACAGCGCCTGCCGCGAATGCAGCGTAGTGGGTCGACTGCCACTTCAGGACTTGCATTCCGTGCACCGGCTGGCCAGCCGGCCCCGAACTCAGTAAGAAAAGCCGTCGACGTGAGCCAAAATTGAGTTTGTTTGTTGCTGTGGGCCCCTGGACATGCCCATTCTTGACGAGAGCCCTCACCCGCGACGGTCCCGCGGCGCTGGCCCGCCCGGATGGCGCCAGACACTCCCCATCCAGAGCCCCGGAGCGAAACGGCAGCCGTCGACGTGAGCAAAGTCGTCCTTTTCCCTCGCGTCCCCTTTCTCGCCCCCTATGGAGTAGATCTTGGCTGCGTTTGGCGTCTGTTTCGCGCAGGTGGGTTCTCCCCTTGCAGGACGCACTGCTGCAAACCATCGCACTAAGCGGAGGTCTGGAACCAGACCCCCTCCCCCCTTCCGCCCACTGTCGAAACGCCGAACCAGAAAAACGTTCGCAAGAGATTGGTGTGGCCTGCTTGGTGGCTCTCCGCCTCTGGGCATGCCCGCTCCCCGCGAAGACGCACGCCCATCTGAGCCCCGCGGCGCAAGCCGTCCTGAACACGCCCAGCGTCCCCCACCCTGGCCCCCCTATCAAGGAAGCAGCCGTCGGCGTGAACCAAGAGAATCGGTGCGGCCCCTTTGGTACCCCCGCGCTTCCGAGCGGGCGCAGCCCCCACGAGAGCCCACGCCCGCGTCAGCCCCGCGGCGCAGGCCGAGAGGAGGCCGCCCAGCGCCCCCCACCGTGCACCCCTGGCCCGGCTGCAGGAACGCGGCCGTCGACGGGAACCACCAATCAGTTCGACCCCGCGGGCGAGTCTTCGCCTTCGGACGTGTTCACTCCCCACGAGAGCCCACGCCCATTTCGGCCTCGCGGCGCAGGCCGATTGGATGGCGCCCAAGGTTCCCCCGCCCCGGCCCCGGGCGCAGAAGAGCGGCCGTCGACGTGAACCAAAGTCGGTTCGACCCCCTTAGGTGGGTTTTCGTTCTTGCTGCTTCAGATAGTCGGCGTCCTCCAGGGCCCCGCAGCGCGAGCCGCCCAGACGCCTCACCAGCACCACCAGAGTGCGACTTCTGGCACGACCACCAGCACGACCACCAACACGAACACCAGCTTGACCAGGGGCACGACCTCCAACGCGACCGCCACCACCACCAGCACGACAACGAGAACGACAACCAGCACGAGAACAAGCTAGACCACCGGCACGACTACCAGCACGACCGCCAGCCCGACCACCACCACCACCATCACCACCACCACCAACAGCACCACCAACAGCAGCACCACCAGCACGATCACAACGGGTCGCAGCACCGTTGACCAGGGGCGGCAGACATCCTAGCGCTCCTCCAGCGGTTTGGGGGGCCCTGTGAGAGGTCGGGTTCTCTCTGCTTCCTTCTCCCCCTCCTGCTCCTCTTCCCTTAGTCCCGCTCCCTCCCTGGACATTGTCTGGTTGGAAGCAACACCGCCAGCAGGACCACTGGCGCGGCCACCAGCACGACCAACCGCCAGCACAACCACCAGCACGACCACCAGCACAACCACCAGCACGACCACCAGCACGATTTCCCACCAGAACCATCACCAGTACGACCGCCAGCATAACCAGCAGCACGGCCACCAGCAAAATCGCCGGCACGACTTCCAACACGAACTCGTGCACGACCACGAGCGCGACCACCCACACAACTGCCTTTTGTGAGCCGTCCTAAAACCGCAACGCACCTAACCCTCCAAGGCCATCATGCTCACGACACATCAAAACATATACCCCCAAAGCCATCAAGTTCACGAGCATATCGCATTCAGTCGTTCACCTACTGCGGTGGGATACGAGATCCGCGCTCCTGCGCAAAGGACGAGAATGAGCGGCAAGATGCCGTGGCGAAGCGAAGCGAACCAACAATATCTGGTGTATATATACAAGCCTACATACACATATTGTATATGTATATGTCGTTTATATTGGGATCGTGCACTTTTCGCAGGGGGCAGGGCGTTTTCACTCCAGCCGGCGCCAGAAGGAGGCATGCCCTATCCGCAATTTGAGGTTCATTCCTGGTGGTGATTGTTCTTCTTCTCTTTTCTGTCCTCCTCCTCCTCCGCCTCCTATCCTCCATTCCCCCCTCCCCTCGCGAGCTAGGCGCGTGCGAGACTGCACGGCTGGCGCGCGCATCCTGGGGGGCAACAACTATACAGATGTACCCTTCCTGCTTCGATAGAAGGTGGCACGCTCATCGTCTTCCCCGCGCCGAGTGAATCCATGCGCGTGGCTGCGTGCGCGCAAACGCGCATATGCAAGCTCACTGTGACTCGCCCACCAAGAACGAGCCCGATTCCGCGGACCCCAGTCGCCCTCGTCCCTGGCGGCGAAGCCCAGCCCAGGTGATTGTCTATACCGTTTTCAGTGTATACCGGCATTCGTTGTTTAGTTGGTGGGCTCTATACACCAATCTGGCGTGATTGGTGTATACACTTTTCGGTGTATGCGCGTAGTTGTGTCTTGATGGGGTTTAGGGTATACACCGATGTTGCCCCCAGAGTGCCCTGGCATCGTCGGCGGGGAGAAGGCAGGCTGGGGCCCGCGGAATCGGCTGGCCATCCCCCGAAGAGGGCCTGCGCCGTCGCCACGGGGACAGCGACACAACGGCTGCTAGGCAGGTTGCCACGACAACCATCCTGCGATACCCAGCTCTCAGGGCCCCTGGCGGCCAGGACAGATATTCATGTATATTTGTTGTGTTCCAGTTCTGAAGCCCTTGAGTCAAGGGCTTAAACAGCGCCCCAACCCTGGTTTACGAGGCGCTGTGCGCTGAAACTCCTGTGGGCTGACAGGGTAAACCCTGCGTGATGTGCGGCGTCCTGGCGTCCTCCAGGCTTCAGGGGTCCCCAGGAGGTTTACAGACCACGCACTTGTAACCCAGGGTAGGATCGTTTCTTCATCCATCAATGTTCGGCCCTTTTGAGAAAACAGTATCTCCGGATATTGCCCGAAGTCGAACACGCGCGAACTACCGCCGCCCCCTGCCATGTGGAAGCGCCAGTGCGGCCGAACGCTGTGGCCAGAGCTCGGCCACGTTATGGGACCGTGTTTCCCCCCAGCCCTTGTGGGAGCCCTTCGGGGGACACTTGGGGGAGGAAAAGGAGGATGACGAGGGAGGACAAAGGAGGGGGCGGATAACTAGGAGGACGAGGAGGAGGAGGAGGAGGAGGAGGACGAGGACGAGGAGGAGGACGAGGAGGAGGAGGAGGAGGAGGAGGAGGAGGAGGAGGAGGAAGAGGAATAGGAGGAGGACTCTTGGGAGCTGTTGGGGCACTCTCAGGGCCTCCTGGGTGCCTCCTCGGGGCCTCTTGGAGGCCTCTTGGAGGCCCCCTTGGGCCTCCTGGGGACCATCGGAAGCTCCTTGGAAGGCTGCTTGGCCGTCTGAGGGCGTTCCTGGCCTGTCTTTCGCCGTCGGACGTCGCGTTGGGGGCCTCTCTGGGCCGACTTGGGGCCGACTTGGGGCGTTTCAGGGTCATCTTGGAGACCATCTTGGGCATGCTGGAGATCGCATGTGCCGTTTTGAGGCCCTCTTGAGGCCATCTTAGGGGGCCCCTTGGGCCGTCAAGAGGCCATCTCGGAGGTCTCTTGGGAGCTCTTGAGGCCATCTTGGTGGCCCATGGGGCCGTCTCGGGCCATCGGCAAGCCGAAAATTAGCAAACACCAAATCCTTCAAACACCCAGGATAAGTCCATGAGTTTGGCCTCTTCGGGCAGTCCTGGAGGTCCTCTTGGGCCGTCTTGGAGGCCTCGTGTCCCAGCTTCGGGACTATCTTGGGCCGTCTGGGGGGACATCTTGGGGCCATCTTGGGCCATTGTGGCAGTTTGAGAGGCGTCTTGGTGGGCCGTCTTGGCCGTCTTGGAGGCGATTGGGCCAACAGTGAACGAACTTTCGCTTGTCTTCGGCGGCTCTCCGGGTGGCCGGTGGGTTGAGCCGAGACCCCATTGGAAATTCGTAAGTTTGGCACCCCGTGCACCCTTGTCGCCAGCCGCAGGCGGCGGCAGAACTCTTCTCCCTCCTCCCCAGCTATATTCCTCCATGCTCACGTCCGCCCAACGCTAGAAGAGGAGGAGTAGGAGGAGGAGGAGGAGGAGGAGGAGGAGGAGGCGGAGGCGGAGGCCGGATGTGCGAGGAGGGAGAGGCGCGGGAGCATGTGGCCGGAGCGAGGAGGCCGCGCCGCACGCCGAGGGGGCCGGAGGCGGATGGGGAGGGCCTTTGCGTCCCCGCGGGGGCGGCTCGGAGGCCGAGCTGAAGATGATCGATCAGAGCATCAGCGAGCAGCAGTCCCGGGGCACCTCCGACGCGCTCGCGAGGTGCCCCCGCTCCCTCGCAGGAGAGCCACGTAAAGTTATGATGCTTCAGCCTGCTTTGGCCTTGATCACCAGGAAGAGTTTCGAGCGCCCAGAAGAGTGCCGAGACTCGAGGGTTTTCACGCGTCGGGCCCTGGGGGACACTCGCCCGACACTGTTTCGACACTCTTTTTACACTTCTCGGGGTGCTCGAAATTATTTTTGGGATGTGGTCCTTAAGTAGGATGGGGGCAACACAAGCATAAAGAAGAACTCGTGGCGCTCCGCGCGCGGACTTCTTGGATCGGCGCTGGGCCCCCTGGCGGCGCCTCCAGCGCCACCCCTGGCGCGCTCCGCTCGTCGGGGAGGGGGGGTTCCGGCGCGGAGCCCATAACCCCGCGCGGACCTCCAACGGTTTATGCTTGGTATGTGTCGGGGGTGGGCAGACCTCCTACCCTGACACGTCGATTAGCGAATTGGCCGTTTTCGGTTCGCGAGAGGGCGTCGCGGCCGTCATTTTTGCGGGTCCAGGTCCGTCGGCTTCGGTCCCAGGCCGTTTTTACTAAGGGGAGGTTTACTAAAGGGAGGTTTGTCCACCGCCGAGGGGAGGGGCGTCCGGCGCGGAGCCCATAACCCCGCGCGGACCTCCAACGGTTTATGTTTATTATGTGGCTTGTTGTTCCTCTCTTCTGGGGGGCGGCCAGAAGGGTTGGGGGCCACAGGCGAATCCTACCCCCACCCCCCACGATTTCTGAGGGGGAGGGTGGGGTTCACTTCGCTTGGGGGGCTCCCGAACGAAGTGAACCCCACCCTCCCCCTCAGAAATCGTGGGGGGTGGGGGTAGGGTTCGCCTGTGGCCCCATAAATACCCCGCGCGGACCTCCAACGGTTTATGTTTATTCTGTGGCTTGTTGTTCCTCTCTTCTCGGGGGCGGCCAGAAGGATTGGGCGACGACTGGGCGGGGGCGGACATCACGGCGGGGGCCATGAGGTATCTCCCCGGATCTCAGGGCGCCCCCTCTTCTTTCGGCGCGTCCCCTGGTCCACCCCCACCGTCCGCGCACGTACCTCGGGCCGCGACTTTTGCGAGCGCCCCCTCCTGGTCATCGCCCCCCCCCCTCTCTTGGACGCTCCCGAGACCACACTGTAGTCACCCCCAGAGAGTCCGCAGACGACATGTGTGCGCACCGTACCGCGGTGGCGCCCCTCGTGGCGCCGTCGACCCTCGACCCGGGAAGGGGTACGGTGCTCGCCGCCCTCTCCCCTGGCGCCTGCGTGGGCTGGGGAGGGGAGCTCCTGGGACGCACCGCCTGTGCACCCTGCCGCGCCGGAGCGGGGCCGGAGCGGAGTCCAGGCATGGTGCGGTGCGCGGACGGCGGCGTCCTCGCACCCAGGGGTGCGGTGACGCCGAGGGTGGTGATCTGCGACGAGGCGCCGCTGGGGCCCCGGGGAGCACGGCGCTGCCCTCCTCGGGCCTCCTCGGGCCGCGGCGGAAGGCTTCCGGCGAGGTCCTCGCCCGCCCCCCCAGGGTGCCCCCCCCCAGGGTTAAGTCGTGCATGTCCTTGTGCGGGAGGAGATTTCAAGAGTGGCTCTAAAGAAGTAATCTGGGGATTATTCCCCACATCCTGAGAGGGTTTTTTTTTTTCCTGGAGCACCCTCTCCTTCTCCTCCTCCTCCTCCCCTCCCTCCTCCTCCCCCTCCCTCCTCCTCCCTCCTCCTCCTCCTCCTCCTCCTCCTCCTCCTCCTCCTCCTTTACCATACCTGTCATCTCATACCATACCTGTCATACCATACCATACCAACACCACACCTACCATACCACACCTACCATACCAGACCTACAATACCTACCATACCAAGCTTACCATACCATACCATATCTACCATAGCATGCCCTACTATACCATACCTACTACACCATACCATACCATACCATACCTACCATACCATACCACACCTACCATTCCATATCTACCACTCCAGGAAGGCCACGCCAGAGAGGCCACTCCCACTCCCACTCCAGGAAGGCCCCGCCTGAGCGAGGAGGTCATTCGCAAACCATGCTATTTATCTGGTTTCGTGCCCCTCCCATTCCTCTATGGAGTCCCCGCCTGAGCGAGGAGGGCATTCGTAAACCATGTTATTTAGCATGCTTCGTGCCCCTCCCACTCCTCCAGGGAGGCCCCGCCTGAGCGAGGAGGGTATTCGCATCCCATGTTATTTCTAAGGCTTCGTGCCCCTCCCACTCCTCCAGGGAAGCCCCGCCTGAGCGAGGAGGGCATTCGCAAACCATGATATGTATGAGGTGTCGTGCCCCTCCCACTCCTCCGATGAGGCCCCGCCTGAGCGAGGAGAGCATTCTCGCAAACCATGCTATTCAACATGTTTCGTGAACCTCCCACTCCTCCAGGCAGGCCGCGCATGAGCGAGGGCGTTCGCAAGCCATGTTATCTAGAATGCTTCGTGCCCCTCCCACTCCTCCAGGGAGGCCCCGCATGAGCGAGGAGGGCATTCCCAAATCATGTTACTTAGAATGCTTCGTGACCCTCCCACTCCTCCAGGGAGGCCCCGCCTGAGCGAGGAGGGTATTCGCAACCCATGTTATTTCTAAGGCTTCGTGCCCCTCCCACTCCTCCAGGGGCAAAAGCGCTTCCTGAACAGCCGTCGTTTTCCTCCCTGCTGCTCCCCCTCCTTGCCTTCGTCTGCCCTTTCTTTCCTACGTGCCGTTGCGATGGCCCTACCATTCATTTTGCTATGATTTTGCCTCACTGGCCCCACGAAACCCTCAACATCCTTATGTGTGGAACTCCGTCAGCATTTGCATTTGTTTTTATATGGAAGAAAAAAACATTGGATTATCTTTGAGGACATTTTGCATATGGTTCAATCTCCTTCCAAAATCCGCCTGTAGGAGGACATGCCCGACCGAACCCCAGGGTGCCGGTTGCAAACCACGCCCTCTGCAAGCCACGGCGCCCGTCGGAGTCGCCGACCCCAGGCGCGCCTGCCGCGCTTGTTGTCACTCGGGGGGGCGCGGCGGCCGCCCTGTGCCAAGGGCGGGCGCCCGCGCCCGGAGGCAGAGCTGCCTGGCGCGGAGGGAGAACTGCTGGGCAGGACTCGAGAGGGCGGCACATCGCTCAAGCGGGGACGCAACTAGGGAAACAAAAAGTGACATAAACATAACAACTCGGAGGTCCGCGCGGATTTCTCGGATCGGCGCTGGGGCCCACAGGCGGCGCCTCCGGCGCCGCCCCTGGCGCGCTCCGCGCGCCAGGGAGGGGGGGTCCAGCGCCGATCCGAGAAATCTGCGCGGACCTCCGAGTTTCTACGTTTATGCCAATGTTTGTTCCCTTAGTTGCGTCCAGATCGCACACGTGGATCAAGGGGCGTGGACTACTCCAAAGCCCTTGTCAATCGCCCCCCGCTAAAAAACCGAACCCCCTTCCACGTGCGACCCGATATTCGAGACCCCCCCTCTTCGACGGGGCGCCTTCATAAACCGGACCCCCGAAGCTCCAATCCACAGGAAGCGCTTGAATGAACCGGACCCCCCCCAGTTACAAAAAATACGCCTTAAAAAACCGGACCTGGGGACGATAAATAAGGGATTTGGACTAGCGACGGGTCCCGTTTCCATAGGAAATCGCGGATTTCCGCCGCCGAGCGAGGCGGCACTGGCCATTGGCCGCATTTTGGCGACGGCGCCTCCCCCGATCCACGGGTTTGGCGACCGCGGGTCAAATCCATGGATATGGATAGCTAATCCGTGTTTACGCGTCCCCAGCTATAGAAGGCGGTGGTGGTGTCGTTTTCCCTTGACCTTGGTGGTGGTGGTGCCGTCTTCCCCTGCGCCCACCAGCAGCATGGTGGACGGCGAGTTGTTTTGTGTCTTTCACCCCTTTTGGACCTCCCGGTGCGCCCTCGAGGCCATGGCCGGACGCGGCTCGGAGAGCTGAGCCAGCAGGACTCAGAAGGACGTCATCGTTCAAGCAGTGACGAAGCGCCCTGATTTGCCTGAAGACTCTTCTAATAAGCTTTTGTCGTTTGCACAAGATGTTGCCAGAGCATTTTCTGGTTTGGGCAGTGTTTTTGTTCGTTACTACTATTACAAACATCCGCCGCTCTGCGGTTGATCGGGAGTTTCTGTATATATATATATATATATATATATATATATAGAAGAAGGGGCGCGCGCTTCTGGGCGAGAGGGAAACGACCGAGAGAAGAAGGGGCGGCCGCCCCACAGGACCTCTCCATGGTGCCGGAAGCCCATCAGGGCTCCCTCAGGGCCCCTCCCCCAGGGCCGGGGCTCCCTCGCCTGCCCCCTCCTCCTCCTCCTCCTCCTCCTCCTCCTCCTCCTCCTCCTCCTCCTCCTCCTCCTCCTCCTTCGCCCCCGTCGGCATATCCAGGCGTGTTATGCAGTCAGGTCGTCCGTCCGGAAACGGTGCCGGAGGCCGCTCTGGGCTCCTCTGGGCATCCCCCCCGGGGCCCGTTTTGTGAGGATGTCTCAGGCGAGGGCGCCGGTTTGGGATTCGTCGGATCCCGGATCCAGCGGATCCAGCGGATCCGTCCGGAAACGGTGCCGGAGGCCGCTCTGGGCTCCTCTGGGCATCCCCCCCGGGGCCCGTTTTGTGAGGATGTCTCAGGCGAGGGCGCCGGTTTGGGATTCGTCACCGGATCCCGGATCCAGCGGATCCAGCGGATCCGTCCGGAAACGGTGCCGGAGGCCGCTCTGGGCTCCTCTGGGCATCCCCCCCGGGGCCCGTTTTGTGAGGATGTCTCAGGCGAGGGCGCCGGTTTGGGATTCGTCACCGGATCCAGCGGATCCAGCGGATCCGTCCGGAAACGGTGCCGGAGGCCGCTCTGGGCTCCTCTGGGCATCCCCCCCGGGGCCCGTTTTGTGAGGATGTCTCAGGCGAGGGCGCCGGTTTGGGATTCGTCACCGGATCCAGCGGATCCAGCGGATCCAGCGGATCCGTCCGGAAACGGTGCCGGAGGCCGCTCTGGGCTCCTCTGGGCATCCC